TAAAACATCGACGAAGCAACACATCGATATATTATTTTATATATAGTTTCATATACATATTCAACTACATCACCTATAACATTACTTGGAATCTAATTTACTCAATTTTTCACGAAGATGTTTGTCCAGATGAATTGTAATTTGTTGCATATTGTTGTATTTAATTTTGCATTCTGGTCACTCGGGTTTGTGCATCTTTTTGCGATGATTTAAGCGATTAGCATAGCTATCGAATGACTCGTTGCAATCTCCACACTGGTAAAAAATGATCGTGTGTTCTTGGTGATGTAAATTCCTAGCATCCCTTTGTTTGTCAGAGTATTCGCATGCGGACAGCTTCTTACTATTGTGTAGTGAAATGTGATGATCAAGATCTTTTTTATCTGTGAATGTTTCATTACACTGTTGACATTTATTGTCATTGTGCTCACTCTGAATATGCCTTATTAGAAATCGTTTGGCTTTGTATACATTTTTGCATATATCACACTGAAATGTAACAGGTACAATTTTACCTTCATGCACCTTTTCCTTGTGTGACTTGAGCGACATTTGATGCTTGAATTTTTCTTGACACTCGTTGCATTCGTACAATGGTTTTTGATTTATTACTAGGGGATCTTGACGGTCAAGCTTATGAATTCCAATCATATGATTCTTTAACATACGGTAGGTCGGCAAATTATCGTTGCACACAGGACACGTAAATATTTGTGGAAGTAATACGCTCTTATCTTTCTTCCAGTGTCTCTCCAGATGTTCATTCCAATTCTGCTTCTTAAGGAATGATTTGCCACATATCGGGCAAGTGTGGCGATTAGAGACATGAGACTTCTTGTGAAATTTTAATGCATGTGTAGTCCTACATCGCAGACCACATATTTCACATTGATAAGGCATTTCACCAGTATGTTTTCGCAGATGTTCTTTTAATCGCACCTTCAGTTGAAATGACTTGCCACATCTTTCGCAAATATGTGGTCTAAATCCTTTATGTACATAGAGATAATGTTCGTACAAAGAATTTTCCCCACTGAATTCCTTACCGCACGTGCTGCAGATAAACTCGTTCATATTCTCATTATGTCGCATCTTGTGAAACTCGAGTCTCTCCTGACGCATAAAGTGTTTATGGCACTTCGCACAGTAATATTGTCGCTGGGAAATTCCTCTTATTTTACAGGAGGCGCACATTGCTTCATCGTTAATAGCATTAGGATCTCTGATCAATTTTCTGCAGACTTTGCATTTTCGTCTCGGTCTTGTAATAATCTTCTGATTGTTATCCACATCTGTTTTAATATTTAGCATTGTTTCATTATCAGAGAATTTGCACATTTTCTGATGCGCAATTAAATGTGCTTTTTTCATGAATACTTTTTTACATTTCAAACAAAGGTACTGTATTGAGCTTTTGTGCATATGAAGGTAATGATCCCACAACAAGTTTTCATTTTTAGTTTCTTTATCGCATTTTGTACAAACGTATTTATCCATTTTGTTTAATTTGTGTCTCTCCATGTGAAACTCATATTTTTCTTGCAAAATATAACGAGTTCCACACAAATTGCATTCTTGTTTTACATTATTTTTCGAAATATTGATGTCATTTGTATCATTTTCATTGACACATTCTTCTTCCATTTTGGTCACGACGATTATGTTGTCATCTTCAATTCCTTTATCATCAGTGATGTATTCAACATTATCGTTTCTTGACTGGAGTGTTATCAAACCAGTTATATTTGACTTATCATAATTACTATTTAATTGATCTTGTTCTTTTGCATTTAATTTTACTCGAATTATTCGCGATTTACCAAGATTATTGCCAAGATATTTCTTTTTTATCATATCCCCTGTATTAGATTCCTGTTCATTTTTTATTTCTTCAAGATATTCTATATCATTGTTTACTGATTGATGAAATGTTATTAAGTCAGTTATATT